AAAAGAGATCCTAATTTCAATGACACTACCTGTTTAAATATAGGCCAACAAAACCCAATGGTATTTAAATAAGCATTAACAAGACCTGCAGTAAATATCAAAAGAGAAAAAAAAATAGACAAGGCTACATTTTGTATTAATACATTTGAAACAGCAGGAGGAACATGATAGGTCCCTATTTGTACTCCTAAATCTTGCAGTGTTTTTGACTTTAACAATAGTTCATTCATTCATTTATGAATAACACAAGCTGAATCTGTAGTACATTTCCTTTGACATTCTTCGACACTCACAATGCCTCTTTGACAATGTTTATTTGACTGTCTTCAGCTTCGGCTGCCCAGACACTTGTCACAATATTGACAATGTTGCATTGTGTAAAAAAAATCTAATGAAGTTGGTTTACGAAGAACTCTTCTATTTGCACAGAACATTGTTTGTGTGGTGAGTGCCTGCTTTTAACAATGATCTCTCCAGGACTACTAAAAGACTTTTAAGTGTATTGGCATTTTCAATCGACCACAAATGCAGCAAACAAGATCAGTTTCAGTGAAAGGGGGTGCTTTGAATAGGTCTGCTGTTCATGAAAATCGCTGTTTTGTTTTGTGATTACAGACAATGAAAGTTATGCTCATCGCTGTAAATCACTTTTATTTTGCAGAACAGAGATATATCCCACAGACACTAGCATTTTGAAAATGTGACGCATGCAATTACAGAATTATTGAAGGTTACACCCATAGGTATATAGGGTTACACCTTAAAGTCTTTACAAAATAAAATTTGTCGCCTTTAGTAAACATAAAAAAAAACAAGATAAGAAAAAGAAAAAAATAGCAGCAAACATTGAGTTACATTCTCAAATGTGTTTTGGAATAAAACTCTTCTATTGTATCGCATGTTCTCACAAATTATCTTGATGACTCATAGAAACAGGCCATTTGCCAACTACACTGCTCGCATTGTCTGAATTTAGGGAAGAATTTCAGTTGATAATTGTGACATTTTGCAAGAATAATACAAGGATTTTCTCTCTTTTGACCAGATCCTAACCTTTAACAGCTATTTTCTAAACTATTCTAAACTCTTTTGGGTTAAAAACCCTATTGAAATCTGTTCAGATAGTTCTTTGTGTCTGGTTAAAGCTGTGTTACACAATCAAATGCAACTCCCACCCATCTGGCTTGTATGCCTATAATACGCAGAGCCAAACAGTTGCTCAAGAAAAGCTGATGAAATTTAAATAATCATTAGATTCAGGTGTTGTGTCAGTGTTCTTCAGTTGTATCACAAGTTACAGTTTTGCTAAGGCCAGTGCCATGTGACTTCCCTTATCCTGCGATAGACATTAATCATAGGCACACGATCACAAACACACACGCAAGCACACGCAGGCACACACACCCACACAAACACACACACACAAACACACAGACATTCAACCGTCCATCCCCATCTAATCCTCTGATTTTCCTCTTCTTTACAGTCTGAGCTTCCCTGTTCTCATTGTAGCCATGGGCCGTGAGTCATCGTGCGTCTGTGCCAAGCTATTTGCGCTGGTTCACACTGGCTGACACACCTAGGACCAGGAAACACACCCATTCCAACATATCCTTGTATTCAACAGGAGCGACCTGCCACAAAGCTATGACAGTCATAGGGGATTCAGTTTGTAAAAACATGCACTGAATGTGCAAAATATTCGGGACATCTCCCCAAAGTTTAGTTTGATCCCTCTTACACAATCCACATGTTAACTGTCTTAATGCTCCAACTCTTCTTCTTATCTCAGTCTGCTTATCTTGATCTACAACTTATACTATGGATTGATTAAGATTTTATAAGGTGAATCAGTAACTTTTATCTAGATTCACCTCATCAGCATGAGAATGAGCTCTTGAGTAACAGTGAAAGTGCATAAATACGGTCATTATGAGTAGTAAAGAGTATGCAGCATTGCAAGTATTTACTGTGGGCTTGTTATGTGCCCGTAAACATTTCAAACCTGCAGAAAAATTGTTGCGCAGCAAATAGTTCAGACAGGCATTTTGCCATTCACATGTGCACATATAAGAGTTGTCTGTTGGCAATTGCTCTAAACTGAAAATGTTCTTCAAAGGCAACAACAGCCACACCTCGAGGCAAAAAAGACAAACATGAATGGAACTAAGTAAACAGGGGCAGTAGCAGGACACTGTGTGAAGAGGGTAATGATCCTTTCCACCAATTCAGGAGCACAGTTCAGTAATATAATAGACATCTTTATTGTCCACTCACATGGAAATTCACAACAAGGCACATGGTGTAACTTTCAAGCACCAGAGGGTTACTTTTTAAAAAAAGACAACATGTAGACAGTATAAATGATCTCTGCAGTCAATAGAATAATGTAATACATGTTTTCACCTACTCATTTACAAAATATGTCTCCAGAAACCTACAAAATGTGTTTTATATTAGGAATATTTTTATTGTTGGTTGGCACTGTTTATTTAAAACACTGTTACAGTCCAAAGAGTAAAGCAATAACATGCAGAGTTCTTTAGGGTGTCTGCTTATCTTGCTCATGGTTGGGATTACTCCTTCACTTTCATTTCATCATGCACACAATTATAGATAAATAAATGCACACACACACACCGACACATTGGGTCTTCTTTATGTTGGAGAGCTACACCCTGTTTTTGAGAGAAGACAACATCAGAGCTCTCTTGACTCATGGTAGTGCAATGTGTTAATATTAAAGTAGTGATGTGTGTGTGCCACGCCCTGTTGAATCCCTACAGTAACTTCCTCTGTGTTTGCTCTGCTCCTTGCATGTTGTTTGCTATTTCACCTCACTGAGTATGGCTGTGACATGTTGGTGTTTGGGTGTTTCAAGGACGCTGAACATTGCTAAGAGGTGACGTCCTCTTACCATGTGAAATTGACAAAGCCCACACATATCATAAATCAGTGATTCCCAACCGCAGGGACTTAGGGGTTAAGACTATTTGACTCATCTAATTAACATAAAAATGTATTTAAAATATATATATATATATAATACAGTTTCATGAAAGTATATCCCCTAACTGAGTCAGCTGTAACACAATTGAGAATATGTGAAAACTAGTTAGCAAATGAACATAGCTTATAATACATAATGCAATGGATATGTTGTTCAAATATAGCTAAAAGTCATGGATAGACAGTTCATATAGCTAGCTAAGAATAATGGATAAATGGCTTGAACAAACCAATCTTAACGTTGATACTTCCATTGTGTTTGAAAACCCTATTGTAACTCCAACTGATCCAACTGACAGGGCTGTGGGGATACGAAAAAACAAGAAGAGGTTGTAAATCACTATTCTAAAGTACATTTTACAGGTACAGAATTCATATTTTATCAGACATTTTTCATCCATAAGCCAGGTCTCATTTGCTGACCCAATATTATCCATAATCCCAGGCTGAATTTGTCTGAGGCAGCACCCAATTTGACTCAGTCTTAACCGCCCATGTCATTTCTTCCTTTCCTTTTCCACCACGCTGAAACAGATGCACAAATTCTTTGCATTCTATAACTCCAGTGATCATTTACAATGTTTTCAGTTTTCTTAAACAAAAGTGTGGAAAACAATATTTTTTAATATTAGAAGTAAGTTAGGAAGAGCCCTGTTTGATTTGGCTCACCCTGTGTTAGAGCTTGTATGGATCCATGTCTCTGTGCAGACTGAAATGTGCGCAGCAACAGTTCTGTGAGACAGGAAAACCGATCATCATTCAGTACGGCTTTAATGTATTCTTGAAATAGTTGAAATATCAGCGGGCAGTAAGAGGAACAGTACCTGTGACAATAAGGAGAGTTACCTTCTAAAGAAAGCTTACATGTGATACTGGCTATTACAAAATTATGCAGTGAAGAGAGTATGGTCTTCCTACTGACAATTACTGACATTACTATTACAATTGCTATTTTCAGTTCATGAATTGGTGGAAGGAAATAACAAACTATATGAAGCATGCTTTTAAAATATTGAATACATTTTAAAATCTAAAGCAGGCATAAAGTTATTTAACATTAAACAAGCAGGTATTACTGTTCGGTAGGACTCGGCTCAGGGTGGGCATTGTTAAAACAAAAAACTTGTCTTGTAAATAAACACTTTGCCTTTTGTATGTAAGTAAAGGACTCACTCCTGAGTCACTTTGTTAATGATAACTTTGTGTCAGTTTGTGTGCTGTAATAACATGTTTATGTCATTGTCAATCATATGATACCCATTTTGTGGTGTGTTACTCTGTGGACCTCATTGTTATTCTAAAATGTTAAACAAAAACAGATGAAAATCAATTTAAAAAAGTTTTATTTTCATTATAATATAGTTTGTAGAATGTCAATAGAAAATAAGTTAAGAAAAAAAAGATACATTGGATTGTGACTGATACGCTGTTCATTGTGAAAGCATTTATGCAAGGCAGTTAAAGGCCGCCTCGTGTGCATGGGTGTCAGTTGGCAACAGTGAGGTGTCACTTGTCTTGAATTAGCTTGAAACGGTCAAAGTGGTGGTAGTTTTGAAATTATTATTAGCTACTGATATGAAGCAGAAAAACGAAAACAGCAACTCCCAACTCATGACAAAACATTTTTTCTTTTCAGCCACTGCTCGTTGCTAACTTTGACAGTAGAAGTACTTCTGGTGAAAACAGTTCCAAAAGCATACGCTGCTGGTAAAATCTCGATGATAACTATAGGTATTTACGGACATTTCATGTAGCTATTTTATATAAATTAACATTTCCTTTCATTTTTTGATGCAGTAGTTACTTTTCCTGTTGCATGTCATTGGAGCTCCTATGTGAAGCAGTGGGTGGTCCCACAGCCGCTGTGAACCACTCCCTCGCACCGGTCCCCTCCCCAGCTTTCCCCTCCCTCTGTAAACCAGGAGCCCTACCCTGCTCTCTATCCAACCACTCTGCTCAGCCCAGAGGAGCAGCCACACAGAAAAAAAGTTAAAATCAACTCAGAGGGAGGGAGAGAGGGGGGAGAAAACGCCCTGGAAACTTGGTTGATCGAGAAGTAGGAGAACAGTGACAGAATCTTAACAGACTGCAAAGTTGTGACTGGAAGAAGTGCTTTTTCTTGGGCTGGGGATAAGGGGAGACGTTTTCAAGGATGCTCAAGCTCGTGTGAGGCTTCTTGGGCGCTCAGACTGCGCACAGGTAAAGATGCCCTTTTTTCTATCCTCAGACTGAAGTTAATCCTTATTTTAAAACTGTGTTTCTGAACTTTGTTGCCAGCTGTTCTTTTGCTTTAAACTTAACTGTGCTTAAAAATAGCAAATCACTTGGAAAAACATTGCCAAAGTTTGAACAGCTAAGCAGCAAAAGTGCTAAAGTTATCAGTTCAACATTCCTGTAATATTCCAATGGGCACATGTAGTGAGTGTGTGTATCAGTGGTAAGATAACAACGACTTTTTACTGCTTTATTGTATGTGTTATTTCCTGTGGTATCCTATGGTTTTTCCTAAAAGGAAGTTTTGCGATAGGGTTTTGTATGAAGAGAAAACATGTGTGTCACCTCACTGTTTTCTGTTAAGGTATAAAGTAGCAGTGATTTAGTGTAAATATCATCATAAGTTTTAAATACTGATTTAACATAGTGTAGGACATGAGAAGTGGGTGTGTACACACAGCTACCAGACTGCGGACTTGACTGGAGTTGCGCACTTCACTTTTTCTTTAACTGCACTCAAAGGTTGTTATCCAAGGTGTGTGTAACTGAACTTACTGTTGAAGAAAGAATATTGGGTATCTTTATATGACTTTAAAAAGTTAAAATATTTTCGAAAATAAGAGGCAACACCCCAGATCAGTCTATTTGAGTAGTAATTTGACTATTGTGCAACGTGGATGTCCTTTGCATATACATTATCCCTAGTCTTTGGAATAGCAAACTTTTTTTTTACAGCACTGGAATATTCCACATATTAGAGCAAAGATGGAAGTAGTGGCTGGAAGATAAAGTTGTTGCATTGATGCTATCTTTCAGGTGTGTCTCTTATCTGTCCAACGCCCTTGGCTGAGCCATAGTAGCTTAAAAAGTAAAGGTACTTCCCTATGAGAGCCTGCAGCAACAGGCTTGGGTGTGGATTCCTCTCTTTCACCTCCCTCCACCCCGTGCCTTTTTTTTCTCCCTCCCTTCTTGCTTCGCTGTCTCCTCACAGAGGCACACCCTTTACAGCAAAAAAAAAAAAAAAAGAAAAGAAAGAATGAAAGAAAAAACAACCCCATACGGGCTGCAGACGGTTGTTGAAGTGGGTCCCTGCAAACACATCCAAAAGTCCTTTAGGGGCATCCAGGGGGTTCCATCAAAATGAAAAGTACTGATCAGAACTTTTTCTCTCCCTATACACTATACTGTAGTGTGCTGTATAATTATCAATCATTTGGAACTCATATATGGGCATTTTTAATGCAGTCTGCTTTTGTTGAATGCACTGAACTTATGTGATTATTTTTGATATGATATGAATCTGTTTTTGAACAAGTTAAAACTCCTTTCACGCTAATGTTACATAAGAGAAAGGTGGGGACTATCACTGTTGCTTTGTACCGAGAAATGTATGTTTTCGTATGACTGAGTTTTTTAAGTCTTGGGTAGTCTTTTACCTTGGGTCTCTTAACCTGGGCTTCCAGCCAGGGTGTACAGGGGAGGAGAGATGGGGGAGAGGAGAAGGAGGGAGGAAGACAGGGAAAGAGAGTCAGGGAATGAGTTAGTGAGGGGGGATGGGCGGGGCGGGGGCGAGGAGGGGAGTAATGGAATGTAGTGGTTTGGAAAGACAAGCTAATTGAAACCAGGTTTGAGGCATAGAGGGGGGAGCTTAGACTTCGCACATTTTGGTGAAAGAAAGAGAGAAACCTATTTTATCTGCCCAAAAAGTTGAGAGATTTTTCTGCCTACTTATGTATGAATATATTATGTTTTTCTTGCGTACACATTCAGAGCACAAACGCATCTTTCCAGGTGTCGTTCAAACTAGAATCATCACATAAGTTTGGTCTGTGTTTGGCATAATATGTTGAAGTTGAGGAAGAGGCAGATAAGAAATCAAGACCACACGTAATCTTGTGTTGGATCTCGGTTGAAAGTCAAACTTCTGCGTGTGTAGTTGTCCTCCGCAGCTCCCTCCTGCCACACCCAAAAATCATTTCAGTCTAGTGTTAGGGAGAGCTGCTCCTTGCTCTGCTCTGCACAACTTTTCCTACAATGCCCACCTAGCTCATGTTGAGTGTTTCATAGCTGTAAATGTCTGGCATTTCTCAAATTGCTTTTGTCAAGGTGATTGGTTGTGACACAGACTGCTTGAAGAGGGCTAGAAAGTGTCTGCGTAGTAGGTTGTCATTTAAACTATAATATGTTTAGTGTTAAGCATTTCAAAAATTATCTTATGCACGGTGGTGATATGACACTGTCATACTGTATTATGTACAATAATACTATAGATGTAGAGTTTTGCTGCAGACAAGTATGGTACTTATACAAACAATGTAAAAATAAATAAAATAAATATGGAACATATATTTCAAGCGTTGAAACTGAACCAGTTCCTGACTGCCTGTAGCTAAAACGCTTGGCGAACAGGGCCTCATCTTGGCCTGGGGCGGATTCTGTTTGTCTAAATACTTGCAGTATCCACGAATGCAGCAGTACAGAGGCTACATTATGTTGGAACCTTAAGTAATGTAGGACATTTGAAATTCCAAAAGCCACACTTTTTTGAAGAAATCTTGAAGAGGCTTTATTGATCAAATCTTGCAAAGTTATCAAGACAACATTAGCAATCCACGCTGCCACTCACGCTGATTATGTTGCACTTGCCACCCGTGTGACAAACAGCACCTTTACTTGCCTGAAGAACAGGACATCCCTCATGACTGTTTAGAGTCTTAGCTTGACTGTGTGAAGATATTTAACACAGCGCTTTGGCAGAACCACTATATAGTCTTGCCCTGTTGACTGACGGCACAGGCGAGAGGAGTGGTGTTATTCAGCCGTGCCACTGTAAAACGGAAAGAAACTGGTCTCTAGCACACTTCCTCTGCCGTTTCCTCATGGGTTTGTTGAGTGGGTGGCTGGAAGGAGGGACAGTGTGGAGAGGCGAAATGAAGGAGGTGGATGCAGTGAATAAGCTGAAAGAAGGGAGGGTGATTGCAATCAAACTTTAGTTCATTTTTTTTCACACTTGGCATTCTTTTAGAAGCAAAGCTGGAATCTCGGACATCCTGAAGTTGCAGCAGACTGACTGAAGTCCCACCTTAGAAACTTAAACAAAACAGTAGGGAATTTGTTGATACACAACTGTCAGACAGTCCCCTAGCTGCAAATAAACATCTAACGGTAGTGTGCGATTTTACAAAGTCTTTCTAGGCAATCCACCCAGCAGCCACTCCCTCCTTATCCATCCAGTGCTGGTTTGGAATATTTCAGTATGTCCTCAGTATGCTCTGGGTAGCACCTATCATTAGCATTGCTTGCCTTGTTGTTGGGAAACAGTGATTTTAAAGTATGATGAGACATCACAAGTCACGCATAATATCTCTATAAGTCACACCCATGCATATGCATGCAATTCAGACTTGTTTATTGTAGTTTCTAGCTTGGTGGGACTTTGTCAAGCAAGGGATTTAAAAAGGGTGTGAAGCATTTTTCTGATAATCCAATAACTTTCACCCCTGCTCTCCCACACATCTAGAATACAAAAACCATCCAAAAACAGTAAATGTGATATGGCTAAAAGCCGTTCTGCACAGCCTACCTGCCCCACTAACTGTCTGACCTACACCCTAACCCCCACAAACACTGTTATGTTCCCCTGTGCAAAGAATGACACGCAGCATCTGTTACAAAACTCTATTTGGAACAAGGCAGCCAAAATGTCAGAGCAGCAGTGCTTGGAATGTAAATTCAGAAATACATTCAGCTTTGCTTAGGTTTTCTTTATCTGGCACAGGATATTCAAGGATGGCACCCATCACAATCCAACACTCTCTTGCTCTAAACAACTCTGCAGTACTCTGGTGTGGTCTAAATGCTAAGTATGAATACATACAAAGTCTTATGTCTATGTATACATTCTGCTGCTATGGTTACCATATAGCCCTCCATCTAACCTTCTCCTGCTCCATGATTGTTTTTGCAATTGTTCTTGTTCAAACAGCTCTTTTGATGTGTTATTTATCCGGCTGAACCGTGTAAACTGTCCTTTTTCTTTCTCTCTGGTGTATCTAGTTATGTCAGTTCAACATTTGCATCCTCAGCTCAGTTATTCTGCAGCTCTGCTTCTCTTTATCCTATTTTTATTTTGTTAGTTACTCAATGTTATTGGTTCTGAAACTGCTGATAGGCAACACCCCATGATCACTTCTCATTTCAGGTTTTCTTTTTAGTTTATTTTTGCATAGCCTAATATTACGTACAGTGTTTAGTGGGATTACTGTCCCACAGTGGCAACAGTTTGTGATGCTAAATTCTTAAGAAGACAAGGAAAAACTTTAGCGCATAAGGAAAAAATGGAAGAAACCCTGGGAGAGAAAATTGTAGTGAGATCCTCCCTCCCTGGATATCTAGGGGTGTGATAGAGAACACTGAGTAATGACAGAAGCCATGCGTTATCTGATACTCATCGCCACATACAGCATAGACCCTTTCTTTTACTGTCCTTATGTGAACTTGAGACTGAAATATAATTAACATGAAAATCAAGACATAGCTGAAGTGTACTCTCAACACACACCCCGGTCTTGTTTGTGATCTTGTACAGAGTTTTCTTCAGTGTTTCCATTTTGTGCTCGACTCCTGCCAAAGTCACAATGGTTTAATCAACAGCAGGCCAAGTTGGCGTCAGTGGGCAGGCTTTGGTCTTAGGCAGGACCTGTGGTTTGGTTTAGGGCTATGTGGACTATGGTGTGCAGAAAAGAACCATTTATTTTGACGTGCATTCCTTTTATATGCGTCACACATGCATGTCCTATCTGCGTTTTTGAGAGAAGAGTGAACCTACACAGGGGCCTGCTGTGTCTCTTTGTGTTTGTTGTATGTGCTGTGTCAAACTACAATGGAGATAGAGGAACAGGGACTCTATTCTGTTTTGACAACATGACTGACTTTGTCAGGGCTCCTCTCTCCCTCTTTCCCTCTGTGCAGTCTTTTTTATTTGCTCATAATCAAATCTTATCACTCACCAGCACTACTGTGCCTGATTCACTTACGCCTGAGCTTTAATCTTTGTCACACCGCTCATGTTTTCTGTTCACCAAATTGATTGGATTTGGTAATCAACCTGATGGATTGATTACAGCCACTTGGTTGTGACCTACTTAAGCACAAACTATGACAGTCAAACAAGTATGTGTCCTCAAGGCATGGAAGGGTGGGGTAGAAATGGATAGCAGTGCGGTGTAGACTGCAGTTTGTTGCATCTACCTGGTGCACAGGTGGAGCCAACTACAATGGTGATGATAATGAAGGTGATATGAATGATGAAAACAGAATCCGTTCAGCCAATCCTGGTGCTGCTTCTCAGGGTTAATTTTAGAGCATGTATTTCAGGGTGCCATTAAATGTGCATATCTGACTGAATGTGGTCTTCTTGTTTATCTGAGCAGAACCTGGAGGTTGGGGGGTGTGGTGGACTGAGTGCAGGGGGGTGGGCACTCAGGCAGGGTGCAAGGTGGGCGGCATAGAATGGAGCTGGAGTCAGAGAGAAAGAGGACATTTCTTTGGAGTTAGTCACTGCGGGGAGAGGCCGGGCTCCCTTCCAGCTGGCCTGACGGCTCTATCAAGGAATGTGTGTGACTGGAGGCCTGGGTGGGGCTGTGCACTGAGCTGCTCCCTATGCAAGCACAGCACAGAGGCAAAGCGACGTGATCTGCCTCGTGGACTATGGCGTGGTATTTCTACCCTGGCATATGTTTGTATTTTGTTTCTGCACTGTTGGTGACCACATTTCACCTTACTGTGCATGCCAGTGTCTGTGTTTATGTATGCGGTCTCACCAAGGTATTAAGACAGGTGGAGTGGGGCAGCTTATTTCTTATCATTTGAGTTTGTATACTCAGATATGGCCATTGTTAAAAGACAAATTCTATCTCACATTCCTTTAAGATTGATACTTGTGTCCTTGAAAAATGTACCATTGTCATTCAGGCAGACATTTACCTGACTGACTCCTGACATGGCAGTCTGATTAATATATCTCTGTAACAAGAGTATGGCCTGGAGAGTGTACACAGCTGCCGTGGTGCAAGTCTCCCTACACAAACATAATGACAACCACGTACTGGCTAGCGTTTAGCTCAGCTATGTGTCATCTATTATAGTACTGGACCAGTTCAAAAAGGCAATAAACAACAGTATAATCTCATGCAAAACTGTTTTACAAACTTTGCACCAATGTCGCTGATTTCAAGAGGCACTTTTACTCATGTTCTCTCTATTGTACTTAGTGTTAAGCATAGGTATTTAAAGTCAGGCTGTTTATAAATGGTCTCAGAGTCTCACAAACAGTAATTTGGCAGACTTTTCACCAAAGTAGTGAGCAATTTAGTTTATTGAATTGGGGAGGACTGGGGAGGGGAAGGTTAATGATGGGTTTGAAGAGCCTGTCTCAGAAGAATTTTTCTGAGGGACATGTTCCCACCGGTAGATGCCTGTCTGTACACACATCAAGTCTGGTTCTGTTTGTACTGGGCTGACAAAGAGAAGGCTTTGTTTCACAATATGTCGGTGGGTTGAAGCAATAATCCTAGTAAGTCCTGTAAGATTTTGGGCTAGTCACAGCGGGTAAAAGTAAGATTGACTTGGAATGCAGAATGACACTTCAATGATGATTACAGTTGCAACAACAATATTTTATTGCTATATGGTTTTATGCTTTACACCTTGGCAATACAGTCTTTACTCAAACAATGACAATGGAGCATTCACAAGGATATTTTACAATATATTTCCTTGTAAAACTGAACTGGATTAGCTTTTTCTCTCAGTTTAAATTTTAATCAAACTGATCTGAATCCTGGATAGATAGTGTGTCAGTGTGCCTGTCTTATCTTCTTATTTGTAGAAGTGAGGGTCACACCAAACAAGTAGCTGAATTTATCTACTTAAAGGGTGTCTTTTGCATTATTACTTGCCAGGGTCAATACTGCTACCATTGGTTGGTTAATTATTAAATACTCGTTATCGGTTATAGAAGGTCCACTGAGCATGTAAATGCCATGAGTAAATCCTGAATGTAACCAAAGTTTATGTTGCCTTGTGTGTCATGTTGGGGCACACCTCTTAATGCAACAGTGACTTATATGTAAGGAATATGTTATGTTAACTGAAACCTGATGTGTTATTGCATTAGACAGCGGCATGATTAAGTCAGAATAGGTTTTTTTGTACCACATGAGAATGGTAGAACTTCCTGACATTAACCCTTAAAATACTTTTTTCATTTTTAATCTAATCATCATTGTATTATTCTGTCAACAGAAGTCGAGAATACAAAAACCACAGCAACAAACTGAAGCCCTTGGCCTTACTTGAGCAATACGAGGTAAGTGTCCTTAGACATAATGCAAGATATTCACACATAACATAACTCATCTGTTACTGGTTGAGTCAAGGAAAGAAAACTATATTGCTTATTACCCATCACTCCACTTGAAGGCCAGCTAGTCAGTGTCACCCTAGAACAGCATTCTATTATGTGGCCAGACGCCAAACCTCTGTTGGAATGTTTGTTGCAAAGCCTCCTTTGAACCTGGAAGGTCATGCCACCTCCATTCAGCTGTGAAAGGCATGCCTTGTGGAAACCTGACACTCTGCTGCTTCTGCTCCCTGTACCTCCTCTTTGCACCCTTCCTTCCTAGACACCACCTGTTCCACTCGAACCCCTTTTTCCCTTCTTATGAAACAACCCTGTCAAAAGACTGCCAAGCTCATGCTGTTTGAACTGTTTGTAATCGGCAGTTGGGGATGATTTATTCCTTAGGAGTGGAGGGAAATCCAGCTAAAGAACCAATACCAAACCCAGACCGTATGCAGGCCAATGACAGGCCATAAGAGAGGCGTATCCAGAAATGTTCTGTGGTTGCACTCTAGTTAACAGAAGCTTTTGTCTGGCTGGCCGCGTCCCCCCTTTCCCAACACACATACCAGACCATAATAAAACATGATAGATAAACAAGCTTGTCTATTTCCCTTTGCCCTCACTGCCTCCATGTTTCCCTTCAACACTTCTTGTAAAAATCTAATTTTGTGTGTTCGTCAAATATGCTTTTAAATACATCACTAATTCAATTTAAAGACATGTGACATCAGGAATGTCACTCTCAAACATGTCAGAGAAATGAAAGGGAAAGAATAGAGAAGAGGTTGATTGTCATGTTGCCTGATCATTTTGAGTCACAGGCTGCCTCCCTGTCTTATGATCGCAAGAACAGAGGCTTACTTATTTAGCATCTGTTTACAACACAATCCATATCTAAGCATATGATCTTCATCAAGTTAATTGTTCCTCTGTGCTCCATTTCCAAAGTAGGATATGCTGTTTTAGGGCATACACAAATCCTGTATGGGTTCGGGTTGGAGGGGTGGGGGAGGGGGTGGGGTAGGGTGGTGTCGTAAGCTTGTAAGCTTCTGAGAAAAGTCTTCCATGAT